AACAATATATTGAGAGAAGACTTGAACAGTGCACCCAAAAAAGTAAAGTTTAAAAAAAAATCATCAGGGAAATGCAAACTAAAATTGCAGTGGCATTACCAGACATACCACAAAGCATAATTAAAATTAAAAAGGTCTGGCCAAATGTAAATGTAAAGTAACTAGAACTCCCTCATTTACTACTGGTTCAAGTATAAATTGGTATAATTACTTTGGAAAACTTAGTAATTAATACAAGTGATGTGCTGGAGCTGACTTGTGCCAGCTCATGGAAGCAATTAAATTTTCAGGCATCATATAAGCCAGTTGTCTTCATGAAAGTATCCTGGAATTCAATAAAGCAGAAATAACTTACACACAGGCAGGATCTACTTCAGATCCAGCTGTTAAAAATATACCACCATACCACTGAGCATTATATACCAAAGCTCCACACACACATATCCTAAGACCCAGCAAATGCAATCCTAGTATACAACCTACAGAAATGTTTGCATATATTCACAAAAGCACATGTATAATAATGTTCATAGCAATACTAATAGCTTCACCCAGAAAACCTAAATATCTATAAATAGAATATATTGTCTCATCCATTTAACAGAATACTAAGTAGTGATAAGAATAAGAGAGCTCAGTCTCACCATCAAAATGTTGGAACAAAAAGATGAAACAAGAATACTGTGCCATTCCACTTTCATGCTCATCAAATAAGGTCAAACCAATCTCTGGTGCTGGAAGGGGTTATTTGGCAGGGAGGGAAGCAGATGAGGATTAAAGAAGAATAGGAGAATTGGGAGGTGGTGGTACTGTTTTTTATTTCTAAATGCTAGCTACAGAACTGTGTTTACATTCTGAAAAATTACTGATAAAACATTCAATTTTAAAAATCAGCCACTTCCACAATGGGACTTCCACATGCAAATAAATCTCACACCTTACACAAAACTAAAAATGCATAATCTGAATGAAAAACATAAAATTATGTAACTAAAAGAGAAAAGAAGAAAATCTTCATGGGCTAGGATTGAGCAGTCTGGGGTCATGATACCAAAAAAAAATTTTTTTTAAAAAGACGAATTACTATCGCATCAAAATTAGCAACTTCAAACCAGAGCAGCGGCACACACCTTTAGTCCCAGTGAAGGCAAGAGGATCAAAAAGAGGATCAGAAGTTCAAGGCCAGAGAGGGCAACACGACAAGACCTGCCTCAAAATAAAATTTTTTAAATGCAATTATATATAGAATATATTTCCTGGTTTTAAAAATATACTATATAGCATTATAAAATGTTATTGCTAGGAGAAGCTGGATTATGGATATGTAAGACCTCTCTACCATTTTTACAACTTCTTTTGATTCTATAGTTACTTAAAAACAGATTAGTTTTTAAACTGGAAATTGGAAATTTATCTACCAGATTGCCTATAGTCCCATATTTTTTCCTGGAATCAAATATATTCTAATATAATACTAACACAGACATACTTAATAAAACTTTTCTAGAAAGAAATTTGGCTAAATCAATCAAGAGGTATTAGAATATGTTAATTTTTAACCAAGAAATTCAATTTCTAACTTTTCCTAACAAAACAGAAATATGTACCAAATCTGCATACAATGATGTAGTTTTCCTCATTCTTTTGTAATAGTGAAAGGATGGAAAACACTTAAAAATTGAACACCAATAATGAACCCAGCAAGAAATCTGGAAAATATTCCCATTCACGACTTCAAAAAAGAAAAAGAAAATAAATATCTTGGAATTAACCCAAGAAAGTGAAAGACCTCTACAATGAAAATATAGTATTCTAAAAAAAGACAATGATGAGGACAACAGAAACAGAAAGTTATTCCTGGATCAGGAGAACCAATATTGCCAAAATGGCCATGTTACAAGAAATGATATATAAATATAATGCAATTCCAATCAAAATAACAACAGCATTCTTCACAGAACTAGAAGAAATAATCCTAAAATTTATATGGAACCAGAAGAGAACTAGAATAGCAAAAACAGTCCTGAGCAACAAGATCAAAGCAATCCCAAATTTCAAATTACATTACAAAGCTACTGTAATTTTTTTAAAAAGCATGGTATTGGCACAAAAATAGACATGCAGGTCAATGGAATACAATAGAGAATATAAAAACAATCTCAGACACATTCAGCAATCTGATCTTTAAAACACTCAGGAGAGTGCCGGGTGTGGTGGTGCATGCCTGTAATCCCAGCACTCAGGAGGCTGAGGCAAGAGGATCACTGTGAGTTCGAGACCAGCCCAGGCTACATAATGAGTTCCATAGTGAGACCCTGTCTCAAAAAACCAAAAACAAACAAACAAACAAACAAAAAACACTCAGGAGAAACCATAACCTCTTTAACAAATGGTGCTGGGAAGAAATCTTTTTATTCAGATGCAGAAGAATGAATACAGAGCCAAATCTCTCACCCTGCTCTACAATTACGTATCAAAGACCTATACAGAAAAACAGAAACACTGAATCTACTGGGAAAACAAAGCAGGTAAAACTCTTAAAAAGAGTTTTTTTTTTTACACAAGCAAAGACTTTCTAAACAGAACCCCAACTGCACAAGAAATAACACCAACAAGCAACAAACAGGCTATCAAATTTTAAAACTTCTGCACAGCAAAGCAAACAAACAGCACAGTAAAGAAACAACTAACAAAATGGGAAATATTTTTGCCAGCTATCCCTCGGATGGAAGACCGATTCTATAGTCTATTGAGTAAAAAACTCAATTAAAAAAATGGGAAATTAAAACAGATATTTCTCAAAAGAAGGGCAAATGGCCAGTAGGTACATGAAAAAGTATTCAGTCGGCATCTTTTGGCATTACAAAAACTGCAAATCAAACAAAACTCAGATTCCATCTTACTCAAAAAAGAATTTCTATCATCAAGACCTCAAAAAATAATAAATATTACGAGATTATAGAGAAAAAGGAAATCTTTTACACTGTTGGTACTGTTGATGAGAATATAAACTGGTGCAACCATTATGGAAACCAGTATAGAGGTTCTTCAAAAAACTAAAAGCAGAAATTCCATTTGACCCAACTGTACCTCTTCTGTGTATCTTCCCAAGAGTTAACATCATCATATAGTGATACATGTATACCCTTGTTTGTAACAGCACAATTCATAACACCTAAAATATGGAAGTGGCCTATATGCCCATCAACAAACGGACAGAGCATGTGACACAGGAAATGCAGTCATTCTGACAGGAAAACAGGAAGACAGACTTTGTGGAGATGCAAAAGGGATCTGGATATGGGGCAGATGAGAAGGTGGGTAGGTGAAGGGGAAGAAAAAAGGATCAAGGTGTGATACGAATATATTATGTATAGTACACAAATACCAATAAAACTATTAAAAAATAAAAATTAGAAACAAAATCTAAAAGTTGAAAATAACTGGGACATTAGTATATTATGGCATACCTAGAAGAGAGAATACAATGCAGCCATGAGAAGTTAAGCTATAGAAGAATATTTATTGACATGGAAAAATGCTAACAATGTACTTCTATATGAAATATGTAAGATACAAAACAGTATATACAGTCTAATACCATTTTTGTGGAAAGAAAATAGCCATATATACAAAATCACGCATACAAAAAATAAATGTACATACCAAATGTTTATAATGGTTATCTCTACAGTGGAATTAGAGATGATTATGTACTTTTCCCAGTAAGTTTCACTTGCCCTGCAAACAGTATCTGTGTCATGCTGTTCTTCCTTGGTTACAAAGAGTGTTAAAATTCTCTTCAAACAGGCTGTTTTAGGATACATACCTCCATAGCATACCTTTGATACAGCTGTTGCTATTCCCATTTAAACAGTAGATTCTACTTGCTTTCATATTCTGGCATATGGAGAGTATTTGTAACTAATATAGCATACTATAAAATATGCCACAGAATAGATCTGGTTATAGAAAATTATTATTTGGAGGATCAAGAAAATATTCTATTTCAGAGAAACTTTAAATAGAAAAAAAAAAATACACTGCTCAACCAGGGTTTCCACAAGTGGCAGAGTATGAAATAACTCAGGGTTCGAAATGGAGAATTTTGACTCTTGCTAAAGGAAACTAATTTTTAATTCAGAAAATATGGTTAGTAACTTTATAAAAAGGAGCAAAAAGATTTTTTAAAGTAAGGAAAAATGAGATCATGGATATAAATGGTGTTTTGTTTTCTGTAAGGACTCCAATGTTAGATAAAACAGCAAGAAAATAATTTGATGCAGCAGAAAAATTAATTTTTATTTCTTTTTCTGCATCATCAAATTCTTACTGTTTTCTATCACCTGTCACAAGTTTGAAAAGCCAAAACTGTAAGATTATTTTAATGTTGGCGAATGTCCTCTAACTTCTTGAATTAACAGTTAATAGCACATATTTAACATTTGATGGAAACTAAGTGCTCAAAATATATGTAGGTTACCCTATGGCTTTAATAATTTGCAATATTAAATGCTGAAAAGTAAGATTACATGTCTCAAAATAAATTGTCATGGGAAGCTATTAGATTCTTATTAAAAATACTAAGTAAGGATGGTGGATTTTTTAAAAAAATATAGGAAAAAAAGAGGACTAATATTTACCCAATGTGTACTGTTTCCCATGCTCCAGCGCCCAAAACTGCCTCCTAATTACTGTTCCCTTTTTTGAGAAGGGCATCTCAGACAAATCTGTGATCAATTGGTAACCTTTAAAAATGATTTGCAATCATATGTGAAACAATTCTTGACTTATTATATCTCAAAGGTTAATTTCTTACCTAAAGGCCTAGAAGTTGCAGATGAAAGAAATATAAAAATTAACAGAAAGGAAGATATGCTCAGAGTGGTGAAAAAGGGATTTCTTTGTTTTTCCAATTAAGAGATGTCAGGGCCAGGAATTTAGCTCAGTGGTGCTGTCACCCACTTCACAATTGCAAGGTCTGAGTTTGATTCCTGGTAACAAAACAAAACAAAAAAGATATCAACTGATCAAAAAATGTGCTCTTTTTCTTCTCTTCAAAATTACAGACTAGAGGAAGCCAGCCAACAAACTCTTGTCCAATACCAGTGTCATTCTGCCACCTCTACAAATGTCCCATTAACCAGAGCTATGTTCTAATGCCTCAACAACAATCACAAGAAAAGTACTTCAGGTTGTTACAAGAGACCAGAATATTACATGAACACACTTCAGGGGTGGAAGAAGCCTACTGATAACTTCATATTCACTGTTCTACTTTACAAGAATTAAACAAAAAAAGCCAGAGACTAGAAAACCACTTTTGGCTATTTCATAATCACCGATTTGTGACAGAAACTGAGGCATAACACTTAGACTAACAAACATAGCAGATGAATTACAGGCTCAGCACAGAACTGCAAATGGATTTCCACTCTTGGATTTTTACTTCCTCTATTACTCAGTGATGAACACTATAAAGTGAGAAGTGACATATTTATGAACTAAAATCACAAGAAAAAACTCTCCAAGATCAATCTCTAATGAGCTCCTATTCCAATAAGCTATAAAGAGCAGTAAAAGGCAATATTCATTTAGCAGTATGAGATTCTCTGTGACAAAAAATCAGGTACTTATCTTCCTCAGGAGACACTTTTTCCCCACCTAACAAAGGCACTTGGCATGTACTGAAAAGGACAGTTAATTCAGGTACTGCCCCTGGGCAACTGCTACCTTCCTAAAATTGGATGAAATAATGACCACGTTCAAATTGGTTTTTCTCAAATAAGCCCGCAACACATATGAATATATCATAACTTCTCTATTTTTGGCAGATGATGGGATAATGCTGGTGTCCACGATGAACTGGCTGAGTGGAGCAGTCAAGGATACACTCTCTGCAGTGTATTCCTTGATGACTACAGAATGTGTACGTAATTATAGGGAGAGTAACCTTCAGCGGAGTTTCAAGTATTAATGTTCACTCCTCTTCTTGTCCTTTTTTACTTTTTTGTTCTTTCCCAAACCCTTAGATGATTCCTCCTGAAAAAAAACCACAAATTAATACAGCATCTCCCCATTCATATGAAGACAGAGGCTTGTATCTAATCATATACTCTATATATAATGGTGAAACATATTTTCATGTGTCATCTTTGTGTCTTAAATAGCACTCTCACTTAGTATATCACAGTATTTTCAAGACAATCAAGGATAATTAAGAAAAACACTTATCTAGTAGAATTATGCTTAAACAATTTCAATATTATTTAATCTATTTCCATTTCTCAAGGCACTAAAGTTTAAATAAAGTAGATATGAGCACGGTTTAAAACATAAGACCAAATAGCTGGGCATGGTGGCGCACGTCTGTAATCCCAGCACTCAGGAGGCTGAGGCAGGAGGATCTCTGTGAGTGCGAGACCAACCTGGGCTACAGAGTGAGTTCCAGGTCAGTCTCAAACACATAGTGAGACCCTGTCTCAAAAAACAAACAAACAAACAAACAAAAAAATAAGACCAAATAAACTCAAAGTACCAAAGAAGAAAGTATTTAAGGGAATGTCAGGGGAAGGTAAGATGTTGTGGCACTAACGGCAGAAAATTCTAGGATTCCATAGACATCTAAAGAACATTTATCTGGCGTAACACCAGCTACACTCTCTCTGGGCCTCACTTGCAGGCAGTAGAAACTAGTTGGTCTTCAGAGGTTTTTCTAATATAAACTTTATAAACTTATGACAGCAGGATACAAAGCGATGAAGTGAGCTGCCCAAGGTCACATGACTTCCAGTCACATTTTTGACCAGGGACCCAGCCTCAAGCTTCCTAATCTAAAGGTTTAATTAATGCACTACACTTGCTCTGATTCAGTCTTTTCTTTTTGTAATTTCATAGGCAGTGATAAGAAACTCTCAATATAGCATCAACAGTCACTTACAGGTGAACTTGTGTAGTTCTTTTCCACTAGTATGTTTCTGGCACAATTGTTGATATGTTTGAAGCGATCTGGTCCTAGCAGAATTCCTCCATACCAACGTGACACTACCACCATGACATTCTTCACATTCAAAATCTGTTATTTTCAGAAGAATAAATAGATACAGATAAACATGTATAAATATAAGCATTAAAGGAGAATGAAGTAACCCATATATAAAATTGCACATAAAATTTCCCAGGGACTTAAGTGGCAGAACCATATGAGTACACACTGAGTGAAATTACTAAAAATTCAGGGAGTAAAATATTAGAAAAGAAGGGAATGTGGAAACAAACACTGTGTCCCAGTGTCCTCAAATTCCACACTTTGGGGCAACCTGCAGAATGAAGGGGAGTCCATGCAGGAGGGTTCTAGTTCTTGGTGACTTCAAGCGAACAATTCAGTTTAAGCAGCCTTTTACCACCAGGTCAAACAACAATAAAAGTCTGATCCTAAACAAACTACTAGGAGAGAACAGGGTCTTCGAGAGTAATTGCTGGTGTCTATCAGTAAGGTATTCATGCTTCTGACATTTACCAAAGGCTGCCCTTAAAATGAAAGCCACCAGTATGCAGGCCTGACTCACATTTAGAGTTCCTATTCTAAGGAAAGTTCTAGTGAGAAAACAAAGCTCCATATAAAGTAGCAGAAGAAACCATAGTAACTACCTTAGGGCAAAAATAATCCATTCTTAAAATTAATAGACAATCAATGATCACCACACAGATGAAGCAAATCCAGCAGCATGAAAGAGAAAGGACAAGATAAACTAAAATGGACCAGGAAAAATTTAAGATGAACCATCTGAAAAAAGAAACTCTGATTAATATATACACAGAAATTCCAGAAGATATCGCATCTAGAAAACCAGAATAAGACTCTATGAGAAAGTGAAAATAAAGAACAGTTTTTAAAAACTCCTAAAAATGAAACACATAATGGCTTAAAAAAATTCAAAAATTCTACATAAATTTTGGAAGACAAGAAAATGGCTCAGAACAGAAACACAATGAGATGGACAGCTTAATTTTTAAAAACAGTAGATCTATCCAGAAGTTCCAATATTCAACTATCAGAAGTTCCACAAAGATAGAACAACAACAACAACAAAAAAAAGAAGACAGGAAGAAACTGTCAAAAAAAACCGAAGTTTCCCCAAAGTTGAAGCCAATCTTCCATTGTCTATGTCTAGAAAACATAAGCATTTGTTATGAACCATTTGCTTTCTAATATCCAGTGGCTAAAATTTCCACTCAAAATAACTACTAATTAAACTAAGTAATATTATGTTACACTGTTTAACTGACTTACTTATTCTTAAGTGGAGCTCTGTTTTGTTGAGAAATTTTATGGCTCACACAGAACAAGACTGAAGTGTACTTGCACCTACCTCCATGAGATGGAGAAGACGTCCACCAGCTGCTGTCTCCCCGTCATCCTCACAGTCCTGCAAGAAGGTCTGTTTACCCTCACAGTATATTCTAGAAAATACACATATAACACGGTTACATTGTAAGACTTCAAAACAGTATGACAGTTCTCACTTAATAATTACTGCAATCAATTTGATCACTTCTAAAATCAGCACTATTCATTTTTAAAAATTCTTCTTGAACTCTTGAGATATATTTTCATGTATGATTTACCATCTAATATATTTCTTCTTTTTATATTTGAAAAGATAGGAATCAAAGTTGACTCCTTTATATCATCAAAAATGCTATTTTCATGGGAAGATAAATCTATATAGCTGACAATTCCTCTACTTCATTTAACCTTAAAGCTATGAAGCAATCAAAAGCAGTCACTAAAAAGCATTTATTGAGAAAATGCTACCTAGAAAGAAGCATAATAATAACAGATACTATAAAAAAGAAATACATGGTATACTCATGTTTTCAAGAAGATTATCAAAATATATTATACGAAGGGCCAGGGGTTTGGCTCAGTGGTTCTTCTGCCTGCCTTGCAAGCGCAAGGGCCCAAGTTCGATCCCCAGTACCAAAACAAAACAAAACAAAACAAAAAATATATATATATATAAAACTCCACAAAAAAATGTGAAACTAGGGGGAAAAGGTAAGATAAAAGAATGATGGGGAATGGAAACGAAGGAGTGATGGTGGGGTGTTATGCATATGTACAAGTCTGCCAAAATGAAATCTATCCATCCATATAATAAATATGTGCTAATAAAAACATTCTAAAAGCCTCAGGTTCAGTAAAAGAAATAAAACTCATAAAAAGGACACCATAGTAAGTTATTATGTTTACTTTTATTTTAGCCATCAAGCACTTGTGTACTTTCCCCATTTGTTTGTTTTTGTTTTGTTTTGTTTTGTTGTTGTTGTTGTTGTTGTTTTTGAGACAGGGTCTCACTATGTAGTTGAGACTGACCTGGAAGTCACTATGTAGCCCAGGCTGTTCTCAAACTCACAGCAATCCTCCTGCCTCAGCCTCCCAAGTGCTGGGATTACAGGAGTGTGCCACTACGCCCAGCAACTTTCCCCATCTGAATAAAAATTATATTTCTCTTTAAAATGTCCCTTAATCGATATTAGAGATAAATTACAGAATGTTTATCCATTTACGCTATCTAGATAGTTGGTATCCAAAATAACAATGCAGGACAGCATTGCAGTGGGACAAATTTGGCAAATTAAATTCCCAATTAATGTGCACCACCTAGTGTATTCCTGGAGCCCCTACAATGGTACCAAGGGCAACTGAGTCCCAAAGAGCTGAAAATTTGGGTTTTAGCAACATACGGAGAAGTACCAAAAGCTGGAACTATACAGAGAAGATAAGCATGGTCCCTGCGCTAGGATGACACAATAAATATCACATGGTTTCTCTTATAGGAGAAACCTGAAATGTAAATAAAGAGCAAAATAAACTATAACAGGAAGTAGTACAATCTCTTTCAAATAGGAAAGGGAATAAAAGATGGAGGGGTGGGGGAGGAAAGAAAGAAAAGAGACTTGAAAAGAGAACTGAAGATAAAATGGGAATACAGCTTCTGCAAATGGGAAGGTGAACAAGAGTCAGAGGGAGCAGGAAGAGATGAGAGAGGAAGGGGACAAAAAAAGAGGTGAGATGTGTGATGTACACGTACAAACTCCCCACAATAAATGTAATCATTCTGTACTGCAAACATGTACTAATTAAAAAAAGAAAGAAATATTTTTAAAAGCTGAAAGCTCTTTATATAAACCTAAGGCTATAAATGCTCATTAACAGACCTCAATGAATTATGTTATATTATAGCCATTACTAATTATTTCCATTCATTCATTAACTCACTTGAACACTTATGAACAAGCTTGTTACTGAGAGTTGATTTCACTTAAGAAAAAGTCTATTAAACAGAATTCTATATGACAAATTTATTTTATTTATTTGGGGGATCAAACTCAGGTCTTGGAGCTTGCAAGGCAGGCGACGACACCACTGAGCTACATCCCTGGCCCTTCTATAGGACAAATTTAAGGCAAATATAAAGAATTAAAGGGCCAGAGATGTAGCTCAGCAGTGCAGCACCTGCCTGGCAAGCACAAGACCCTGAGTTCTATTCCCAGTACCAAAGGGGAAATAAAAAAGAATTAGGGGGTGGTTTAGATTAGACTAGTAATTACAATCTAACACCATAAACGTATGGAACAATGAAGAAAATTTGACTACATATATCAATACTGTTAAATTAAGAAAAAAAATGAATTCACAGGAATTTTCACTAACCCTTTTCCCACACCCCAAGAAAATGATACAGCATCCAACTGCAATGTGTACCAGTAGCCTGAAGAGCAGCTGGTAACTCCAAAGAGGGACACTGCTCCAGTACCATGAAGTAACCACAGAAGGCCTCTGAGCATTTGCAATACACAACTCAAAGTCTATGTACCAAATACAGTTCACTTATTTTACTTCTAGTGGGATACCACAAGCCTCCACTTTGTGCCTTTGTAGGATTATCTGACACACAGTTCTAAGAAGCTGAGTTCTTTTGTGACTAAGCATCAATTACATGGGGGAGAGTCATTAATTGTAGTCATGGTGACAACAGCTTTGTGAAGCAACAGCTGATGGCTTAACAATGTGGGAGAAGAAAGAAAGGCTAGAAAAACACTCAGAAGAACTGTACTGAAACCCATAAATCTGGGGCTCAAAACTGACTAGCACATCATTTAGCTTTTTTTTTCTTCTTGATGATTTAGGGTCAACATTATGTACAAGATTGTTACAATATTAGCCAACTAAACACACAGCAATGGAATAAACAGATAAATAAAATTGGATTATCAAATTCAGTTTTTAGTTAACAACTACTACAGGATCATTAAAAAGTTAATCAAGGGGCAGGGGATTTAGCTCAGTGGTGCTGCACCTGCCTCACAAGCACAAGGTCATGAGTTTGACCCCCAGTACCAAAAAAAACAAAAACAACCATTCTATAGTGGCAGAATTGCTGAAATCGGAATTAACTTAAATTATTGACACAGAACAGGCACTCAATGGACTCAATGAATATAACTATTATTTTTATAGCACATCCCAGTCACTGAAAGCAGTCTAATCCTTTAGTTTTTACCAATGACCCTCATTAAAAATATATTAAAATTCCACTCAGTGTAAATGTTAAGAGAATTACATAAACTTCTTAAGTATAACTTATTATGTATTATGCAGTTTTTATGCACTTGACACTTAAGAATATTAAAAATTCACCTATCCAAAGTGATAGTTGTTTTTTTTTTTTTGGTACCAGGGGTCTTGTGCTTGTGAGGCAGGTGGCAGTACCACTGAGCTAAATCCCCGGCCCACAACAGTTTTGTTTTTATTTGATTTTCAGATAGCTAATTTTTACATATAGCCTCAACTCAATTTTAAATTCATACCAAATTCCCGTATCTCTAATCTGTCCAATTTTAGGCTTAACTATTCTCGTCTTATTATTTTGCATATTAAAAAATATGCCCTTCATTTACAAATCAGCAAAGATTTATATAAAGCATTTAGTACTCAAAACTTTTAGTTTAAAACTCAATGTACTGCTTACAGGAGAAAAAATTGTTTTTAAGAACTTCTTTGGAAATATTTGGCAATATGTATCAAGAGTTTGAAAAATGCTCATAATTTTTGATAATCCTAACATAATTTATTCTTTCTTCCTTTTAGTATACCTATGTTTCATGTTAAAAAAGAAAATAAAGCAAACAGATTCTATCCTGAAGAAATAACCTAAAACATGAAGCCTCCAACAAATACAGACAGCCATTAAATGTGAAAACAGTGGGACTGGGATTTACATTTAGCTCAGTGGTACTGCCACCTGCCTCGCAAGCGCAAGGACCCAAGTGCAATTTCCATACAAAAAAAAATGTGAAAACACTTTACACAAGTGTTGGGAAAACACTTTCTTTAAGAAAAAAGGAAAATATAAGGGAGAAGTACTAAAAATAATAAAGCCTGCATAGAAAAGACATTAAATACATCAAAATATTGTCAGTTACATTTAATAGCAGAAAATGCTCAATTTCTCTTCCAATTCTTTTTTTCTTTTCGCAGTTTCCAAATATTCTACAAGTCTATTACTATTACAAAGGAAAAACACATGTTATTTTTTAAGATTACACGTCTCAATCATGTTTACAAACTACATATTCTGAAAACTGTGGTAATCACTTACCTATACGCATAGATGTTGTGAGTAGCACTAGCTACTTTCTTATTCTCATACAACTTGGCAAGAACCATTTTCACCTTGAAAACAACAGTAATACAAATAAGTTAAAGTATGCTTTTTATTTCCTCCATTGACAGATGCTAGAAAAACAGCTTAAAGGGCCTGGGATTAGCTCAGTGGTTCCACTGCCTGACTCACAAATGTAAGGTCCCAAGTTCGATCTCCACACCAAAAAAAAAAAGCTTAAAGCATATTGGTATAAACGTCATATTAAACAGTCACTTAAAGAGTCTATAGACTTTGAAAAGCTTTCTCCTCATTTTAGGGACAGATATTTTCAATTGGTATAAAAACGTCAGGTGTGGTGGCACAGACCAGTAACCCAGTGGTCAGGAGGCTGAGGCAGGAGGATCACCATGAGTGTGAGGCCAACATGGGGTACATAGTGTGTTTAAGACTAGCCCAAACTACTAGCAAGAAAAAAATTGCTATAAGACTGACACTAATTCTCAATGGATGCTTAGGTACTAACAATGTCTGATATACTTATATATTATAATGTATAGCCCATATAGAGAAGTTGAAATGTAAATGTAAGAATTTCTAAAAATTAGCTCTGAAATTTACCAAATGTAAATATTCTATGCAGTAGCTTTATACTAATGGTATGTCTCACATGGTATAAAACCAAAACTTTCTGTGACAGTCAAGTAGAGAGAGTTGAGATAGAGGAGGCCATAGGAGCCAGATCTTACAAAATCAAGGCTCAGTAATGCATACAAAGGAAAGCAGGAGCAAGAGGCAGAAAGAAGAGACTCTACTCAAATGCAGGGACTATGATGACCAGATTTAGCAAATCAAAATAAAGGATAATCAGTCAAATTTGAAGTTCAGATTACAGGTATGTATCAGTGTAAGTGAACACTGTACTTATAAAATAAATACACAAAAGTATAAACATGCCTGGTGCAACAATGTTTTTCTGAAATTCAAATTTTACTAGATACACTATTTTATCCGGCAACCCGAGGAGTGACAAAAGAAAAAGGTTCAGGAAGGATTGTGGAGCTCTAACCTATGTGTGAGACCAGAGCTGATGCACCAGGAATGATAAGCTAGGACTGTATCATAAACACTTTGTGTAAACCTAGATTTTACTTTGTAGACAATGGAAATAAACCAAGATTATATATGTGAGGGAGAATGGGGGAGAGAAGACAGAGAAATACGGTCAGATTTTCAGAAAGGCTGTCACAGGCAAGGAGTGTGGGAGAAATAATGGTACTATGGAAAACTGAGCTGGAATCTAAGAGACCAATTTGGATTCATAAATCATGCAGCCTTGTGCTTATCATTTTATAACCTTTCAGGTTCACAAATTCACAGATTCCTGAGCAATAAAATAAACAATGGCTTGTGAGATTTATTTTATCTCTCACACAGTCTTAAATAATTATGATCAAAAACAAAGAGAACTCAGGATGAACACATTTAAAACAACTGTCCAGTACTTAAGCAACAGAGCGCAGTGAAGCCCATTTTTCTCCTTCCTCCTACCTCAGCCTCCTGACCACTGGGATTACCGGCCTGTACAAAGACCCGTACTCCTAAGGGCTGGGCTTTTATAGAGCTCACAGGGCTAGGGATGTAGCACAGCTCAGTAATAGAGGGCTAGCCTAGCATGTGTAAGGTCCTGCATTTGATCCCCAGCAAGGCAAATGAAAGAAGAAGAAAAAAAAAAAAGTTTAGAAGGTAAATAATGGGACTTTTAAAAACTATTATTTAACTTTGCATATAGAAATGTAACTGCCTCAGGAATCAGTAAAGTTTGGCCTAGGCTAGGTTGCTGAAAGAAAAGAAAGGCAAAGACCTAGGAACAGAATTTTTCATGTATTCCATTTATATCCTTCAGTGGGAATAAGGTCACCAAAAACCAGGATGCAGAAGTGAAAAGCAATTCAGGCAGGCAAGACCCAGCATCTGTCCACTGTGCTCTCTGGTAAGAGTGGAATGGACTTTGTTTCACACAACTCCCACTCAACAGGACAAACAGTTTTCTTTAGCCAGCTATTAAACATCACAGGTCCCCACAGTAACATGAGTTCATCTTCAAGATGCACTGAAGAGTTGAGCCCCAGTCAGAATTCAGATACAATTTTGAAAGCAGTGACACAAACAAACAAATCTTGCATGCCCAGGGATTTTTAGCTCAGTGGCACTGCACCTGCCTCGCAGGCACAAGGTCCTGAGTTCAATCCCCAATACCAAAAAAAAAAAAAAAAAAAAAAAAAAAAAAATCTTTCATGATTCACAGTAACCTAGGAATTGGAAAATGAAGTTAACTTTTTTTTTTCAGTAAAGGGGCTTGAATTCGGAGACTTTCCACTGCATTACAGCCCTAGTCCATTTTTATTTTTTATTTTGAGACAGCATCTCAAGCTAAATCACTAAATTGATCAAGCCAGACTTGAACTTTTAATCCTTCTGCCTCAGCCTCCCACAGTGCTGTGCTTACAAGCATATGCTTGTAAGCCCAGCAGATAATTTTTAATTTACATGAAAATTTAACCCAAGAGTGAAAAATAGGGTATTATTACAAAAATCAATCATTCAGATTGCTTTAGTAAAACAGTTTCAAAGTAAACTAGACACAGTAACTTTACCTGTTTAGGACAAACTACTGGAGCCAAGTGTGCCTGAAAAGTACTTCTTCGGTCTGTAATAGGAATGCCATGATCAATTGGAGGTAATTCTTCTATTTCTACAAATTTAAAGAATTAATTTATTTGTTTTAATCTTGCAGTCAACTACTAAAAAACTGGCAATGGGGGAAGGGAACTTGGAAAGAAATGTAAATTAAGTGTCAAATTTAAACCAACATAGCTATTAATAATTGCATACTAAATTTAAAGTAGAACACTTCTATATGTAATTTATAAAAGATAAAAATACCCAACTTATGATTTTCACCTGCCAATGTCACTCAGTAAAAGTGGTAGGTTTGGGACTCAAATTCTGGACTGTTACAGCAATTTCAGTTGGTACAGTATCTAATACAATATTTAATTTTTAAAAGTGTAAGGGGTCCTGAGAACAAAGACTGACAGCTATTAATACTCTATAACTCATAAATCCATTCGGCTGTTGACAGACCTCTGAGTTGGGAAACCTATGACTTTATATTGTATAATCATAATGTAATGTTAATAGCTTCTAATGAAATTATTCCTACCCCACGTAATGGAATGTATCACTACTACAGCCAACTGATACTCCATTAAAAGTCTCATAATTTCCAGTTATTGTGCATCTTTAATAAGTTTAAGAATCACTAATTAGCCCTTAACCCTCATGAGAAACATAACCATCCTGGCTGCTGTCACCTGTTTCATTCAGGAAGAAAATCTATACAAGACAAGAAGCCAGGCTTATGCAGAATGCTGGGCCCTCCTCCGATACTTCCCTCTTCTTGAGTTGGTTCTGATTACTGTATTAATACGGTAATAACTCAAATACAGTATACAGGTCACAGTGAACTATGAAACTATTGTACTATTTATTATAACTGATTTTCACCCTTTTTCTTTAGTTGGTAGATCTTATTTCCCAAAAGTGTGTCAAATCCACAAATATATAAATGACTAAAATAGAGCTGCTTAGGCTGAAGCAGAAGTAGGAGCCCTGGGTCTTCTTCCCAGCTCCTTCATCTCCTCTTCACTAACCCTAGAGCCTCACTCAAAAACCTGACATTTCAGAATACTGTTTAAAAGCTACTGCAAAATGGCATAGGTGATTGCTCGCCTTCAATAAATGAATGTTCGGGCTGGGGATTTGGCTCAGTGATTCCGCCGCCTGCCTCTCAAGTGCAAGGGCCCAAGTTCAATCCCCGGCACCAACAAACAAACAAATAAATAAATGCATGTATGTATGTATGTATGTTCCCTCAGTTCGATCATGGTTTTGTAAGACTTAAGGAAATAGATGATAACACTGAAAATTTTTAAATGCTAGAAACGAAGAGGGTGAAGGAAGTGCAGGGCTATGGGGAAAAAACAAGAACCAAGACATATCATGTAAAGGTACAAGATCCCAATAATAAATTTAACTGCATGTACCAATAAACATAATGGGGAAAAAATAAAAATAAAAAATAAAAAAACTAAAAATGAACATACATTTTTACAGAAATACAGCTAATATCACATCAAACTATTTATAAGTTGCATGCTATTATAGAACAAATTTGCTGAAACAAAAACTAAACTCTTAAAAGACCTTTTATTAGCAGGGCCAGGGATTTAGCTCAGTGGCAGCACCTGCCTTGAAAGTACAAGGACCTGAGTTCAATTCCTGATACCAAAAAAAATAAATAAATAAAAAGACATTTTATTAGCTTTAATGTCAGCAGCAGCAATCTCAGTGCTGTTTTACTGAGTTTGTATTTGTTATTTCACTGTACTTGTATTTGTGAGCACAGACTGAAGTTTAACCCTGAGACACGAGGATGTAGCTGAGGATTTCAAAACAGAAATATAAAAACAGGATATGAATTGAAAACATTAACATGTTTTCCTATCATCTTTAAAGCAAAATTATAGAACATAGTAAAAAAAAATGAATTTCTGTTTTAAACTTAGAATTTGGATAGACCTGGCAAACACTCAAATGGATAAAAGGTGGGGAAAACAATAAATCTCACTTATCTGAAAACTAGTAATTACTTCCTAAATTCGAGGGTTTACTAAATTTCTACACCATCCCAAACAACAATACATAATACTATAGACTCAAAAGAAACTAGTTAGTAACATTATACCTGGTTGATTTTCACTGAAGTCATAATCAAATGCTTTATATGGATTTTCTGGGTCATATTCTAAAAAGAAATCATCTTCACATTCAACGTCCTCCTCGTCAGTTTTCTTCTGTACAACCGGGCCTATGTGGATATGAGATATTGAGTCATTTATAAAACAGGTACAAAATTGCACCAAAAAATGATTAAATCTTGGGCTGGGGATTTGGCTCAGTGGTTCTGCTGCTTGCCTCACAAGCACAAGGGCCCAAGTTCCATCCCCGGTATTAAAAAACAAACAAACATATATATATATATGTCTTGATTTCTAAGCACCATACTTCAACAGAAGGAACCACAATTCCTCTTCCTCACGATAGACTCCTAATGAAAAAAATGAAGGAGATGGAGAATCAACATTAAGCAAACATGAGGTGTGACTATTTAAATTTTTTTTAAAACAGTGACTAAATTTTTTTAAAGTATTACATGTAAAGACTCATTACCATTAATCCTCTTCAAAATATTCCCACACTCAAAATACTCCACACTTGGTCAAAATTTTGAACACACTGATCCCACTGTTCTTGTCAATTTCTAAAGCAGTTCTAGAAATTCTCATTTAAGAATATCTTTAAATTGCACTGTTGTGGCTGGCTTAATTCCTCAAACTGACTCAAAACACTGTTTTCCATGATCATTTTAACTCTGAGGAAGAACTAGAAGTCATATGTGCTGGATCCAGTCAATCAGGTAGATGAGGACACATCATAATGTTTTGACGAGCTTTTCTTTCCATAGGACGGAACTTGACAGCAGCATTTACCATATTTTTTATTGCGCCACATAAAAACATAAAAGGGAACTTCCAGAACTGTTTCACAAAGTGGCAAGAACAATGGGGTAAGTGTATTCAAAATGACACGGAGTATTATGGGGGGATTAATGACAAAATGGCTTTTACTGTAAAATATTTTTTAAATTTAAACATATACTGTAGGGCCGGGGATTTAGCTCAGCAGTTCGGTGGCCTGCCTTGCAAACGCAAAGACCCAAGTTCAATCCCCGGTACCAAAAAAAAATAAACATATACTGTATTTGTTTATCAGCCTTTGTACTGTTGACAAGACCCACTGAAGTATACTAGAATTACTGTAATGGGCAAAAATCTAAAGAAGAATATGCCAGGTGTGGTGGCACATGCCTGTAATCCCAGCACTCAGGAGTCTGAGGCAGAAGGATCTCCGAGTTTGAGGCCAGCCTGGGCCAGACTGAACTACAAAAGAAAGCAAGCCTCTGTCTCAAAAAACCAACCAAACAAAGAGGAACAGGAGATTAGCACAGCCTCAGAGTATATTTCCCAAGATGCAAATGGAACGATAATAACTTTGTAATTTTACCTATCAAACTTTCTAGGCCAGAGTACTCAGACTGTGCCCAGGTGATATAGCCATGGTACCCATATTAACTAGTGTTTAGCTGGTCTAACACTACTCTAGATGTTTCTGTAAAGGTATTTTAAGGTGAGATTAACATTTAAATCAACTTATTCTCAATAAAATATTTTCGCCTCCATAATATAAGAGCCTCTCATCTAATCAGTTAAAGACCTTAACTGAAGAAGACTGACCTCCTTAGAGAAAGAAAGCATTCTCTCAGCAGACTACCTTTGGGCTCAGAATGCAACATGGACTCTTGAGTATTTGGCCTGCTGCCAGTCCTTGCAGATATTGGACTTGTCAGCCTCTACAACTGTGAAAGTCAATTCCTTCAAAATAAATCTTTCTCCCCGTATACAGAAACACGTGCCCCTATTGTTTCTGTTTCTCTGGGAAATCCCAACATAGTAACTTTACAGAGTAACTCTACCTTAACCAAGGGATTGAGGCAAACATCACCAATAATAAAGTATACAATGTGATCTTGATAGGATGCACTGTGAATGACACAATACCATTTTTGTGATATTTTTGCCATAAATGGCTAATCTCACACCAATCATTAGAAAACACAGGACAAACCCAAACTGAGAGGCAGTCATATCTGTGTATTTCTATGAAAAAATGGAAATAAAATGTTTGTAAATGGGGAGGGGAGGAGGGAGTGAAGGGAGGGCAGGGACAAGGGAAAAAATGAGAACCAAGACCTATCATGTAAAGGTACAAGAACCCAATGATGAATGTAACTGTGCTGTATACCTAAAACATACCAATAAACTCAATCAGGAAAAAAAATATCTGTGTATTTCTCACAGATACCTTAAAATACAGCAAAATCAGAACGTGGGTCATAAAAATGTTATGAAAAATGCTTCAAAAATGTTGCCGACAATACTTTTATGCCACTTACCACTTTAATTTGTAATAGAATCCAAATATTCTCCTTGATTTTAATAGAAGCGATAAAATATTTATTTCTATGGCAACATGATAAAATGCTCTGAAAAAAATATATACTACTATCAACTATAAATGTATACTGATTTTGATAAGGGAGTCCTACATAACCTTGTAAAAAATTAGTAAGTAAATGGAATTCTTTTTTAATCTTTTACCCCACACTGAAAACAATTCTATTAGTGGTAACAATGAAACACTTTTAGAAATATTACCAGGTCAAATGGAGCTATTTTTTCTCTTTAAAAGGCCTTTGTATAAGTGGAACAAAAATTAGCAAATTGAAATAATAGGAGACACTAGATATTTCCATACTGTCAATCACTTAATTCAATAAAAGATTAATAATAGAGCAACATATAAATTTTCAAATATTCTACAATTAGATAGTAATGATGGTTGTAAAACTTTGGGAATATATTAAAAACTACTTCTAAAGTACACTTGAAAAGGGTAAATTGGTCCAGGGATTTAGCTCAGTGGTTCTGGCACCTGCCTCATAAGCACAAGGACCTAAGTTCGATCCCTGGTACCAAAAATAAAAAATAAAATGGTAGATAATTACAGCATGTGAATTATATATCTCAATAAAAAGTCAACTTTAAATTAAGTTCAATATCTTAATATGGGTCAAAGTTCTTTTCTACACATATTAAATTCACTTAAAGCTAATATCTAATTTATATAGATTATTTATAGATTTATGAGGAATGTTACAAAGTTCATTTAGCTTAACAGTCAATTAGAACAGATTTTGGATTTAAGTTCATTCATCATAAATTGCTGTAAGACTATAAAATGAAACTAGAGACTGACCCTTGCAGAAAGAAATTACCATCATTTCATGTATAAATGAACTTTCCAGAGAAACTTCTAAACCAGAACAGATTTTCATACAAAATTTCAATTAGAATATCTGTATGAAAGTTCAATTATTACAAGTTCAAAGAACACTGATGGACTTTTTCAATCCTACCTGGTTCTGCCAGCTGAGATTTTCGCATTAGAGTATCTCTTATTTTCTCCACCCACAGGTAAAGAATACTTTCACCAATATTCTCTCTAAATAAAATTCAAGAGAAAAATGTTATTTCAAAAAATGTCCTTTTCAATTTCAAGAGAACAGAGACATAGGTATAGGTCAAGATATGAAAAATCTAACCATACCTTTGCAAAAAAAAAACTATGAAAAAATAAGGTTCACCAATTTTGTATCTGAATATTTAATATAAATTGGTTATATCAACATTAAAAATTCCAACATGCTCCAAAATTAATTTAGCATATTTAAGCAGAGTTGCAACCATGGAACCATTGAACTGGATGCACTACCTAGATATAAATGTGACTGTGTTTCTATCAGTGGATATATTCTCAGTTTTGGATTTTATTTTTGAGGCAGGGAGTTGCAATGTAGCTCAGGCTGGGCTTGAACTCAATGTAGCCCAGGCGGGACTTGAACTCACTGCAACACTCCTGCCTCAGCCTCCTGAGTACTGGCAGTACAAGTCTGTGCCACCACACCCATCTTAATCTCAGCACTTACTTTTCTAAATTTTTAAAATAATTTCAAACCATTTATTTGCTACATATACCACTTAGTATACTTACTGTCAAGCCTGATGTGTCAGGTAAAGAACCTGAAATCTCTCTGCCTATACCCTAATCGGAAGCCTAAACATCTGATATTCTTCTGTAATACTGCATGGCTACAATATAAACTAGAAAATGGCTCTCAATAGCCAGAAATGGCACTTTTGACTTCACCATCCTAAAGGAGCAAATGCTTGGAAGTTCCCTATGTTCACGGATTCTTTATACTTTGTAACATTTCCACTTTGTACACTTCCTGTGAATCTTCTCAAATCCTTCTCTCCTTTCCATCTGAACCGCCTCTGACAAGGACTCCTCTCTAACAACAGATCCAACTGAACTCACTGTCACCTAGCAGTTCCCAGCAGCTTCTCTTGCAGCTACAGGCAATGCTCACCCTCCTTCCCCAAAGGCTCCTGCTGTGACTGCAGGGACTGCTCTTCCCCTTTCCCCAGAGCCTCTCACTGCAGATGCCTCTCTCTCCCTCTCCATTGCTGCTGAATCCTCTGCTGCTACCCTCCCTGCCAAAGCCCTCATCTACCCGACGCTGCTGTTGGACCTGACCCTCGTCCGTATGATATGTTCAATTCAACGCTACTTCATACTTGTCCAGACTATAGTTCAGGGACCCTTCCTTACCCTCTGCTTTCCAATACCCACTTAGAAAGGTGGCAGGAATGGAGCGGATAATTGGAGTCCATGTTCCCTTCTCCCTGTTGATCTCTCACAGATCAATCAACATTTAAGTTCCTTTTTCACAGAGCCTACTAGATATACTGAAGAGTTGCAATATTTCACTCAGTCTTATGACCTTACCTGGGATGATCTAAATGTTAGCCTCTCCTTAACCCCCTCACTTGAGGAACAAAAATGCATTTGGTCTCTGGTCCAAGCCACTACAGATGACCACAGATGCTTTGAGCCTGAGGAGCGTGCTGTGGCAATTCCCTGAGCCAACCTGAATTGGGATTTTAACTGGCTAGAAAAGGAAGGACAATCCTCACCTTGCAAAAGTCGTAACTATATGGTTACTTGCTTAGTTGAGGAATGCCACAAGGTGGCACTTACAACAGTTAATTATGATAGACTTGAAGAAACCACCCAGATAAAGGATGAAACTCAGGCCTAATTCATGGCCTGTTTGTCAGTCAACCTCAGGTGTTATATGGCCTTGGATCCAGAGAGCCCAGGAGGCCAACTTATTTCAAAGATGCATTTTAATACTCTGTCTGCCAGATATTTGTAAAAAATTACAGAAACTAAAGACTGGTCCTCAAATGTCACAAGAACTATTAAATTTGGCTTTCAAAGTTTATAACAACAAATGAATGTGCTCAACAGTAGCACATTACTGAGCTGCAGATACTAGCCTCCACCATAAGAAACCCTGCAGCGTTGGCTGCCAAGGTAACTAAAAAAGGATCAATGGCTCCCCAGACTCGGGGTGCCCCCTCTGGGCCATATTTCAAATGCCACCTGAATGGTTACTAGGCTAGGGAATACCCACAGTCCGGGACTTCCTCCAAGCCATGCCATTCCTATGGGATTCCCCTTGGGAAGTCAGATTGTCCAGCTCTACCCCTGCTACTTCCTGGCCACAATATGAGGGACCCCCAATTGGCTCCTTCCCAGACCTTCTTGGCCTGGCCACCAAGGGCTGATGCCATCTGGAGGCCACCGAGGTCTCCTGGACCATTTCAGATAATGAGCTCCGGGTAATTCCTATGGTGGAGGATAAGTCCATCCCATTCCTCCTTGACACAAGTGCTACATACTTTAGCCTTGCCTTCCTTTCAAGGATCAACTTCCTTGACCCCAGTTACTGTTGTGGGCATTAACAGCAAAGTCTCCAGACGTTTTAGGATATCCCCAATTTGGTGTCAATTGGGCCAACACCTTTTTTCACACTCATTATTAGGTTTCCCCACCTATCCCATTTCATTGTTAAGGTGAGACATCTTAGTTAAGCTGTCAGCCACTCTGATCATCCCCAGGACACAGCCGGTGTTTATATATGCTCTAGTCTCTACTTCCCTACCTTCTCACAAGGCTATCATCTCCCTTCATCTCAACCCGAGTCTAGGACATTTCCACCCCATCCCTAGCCTCGTCCCAACAAATTCTTAGCATCTCTCTCAAGCCTGATCACACTTACCCAGCCCAACAATATCTGATCCCTGACCTCACTCTAAGGAGTTTACAACCTATTTATCTCTTACGCATTGCAACACAGTCTATTAATTCCTATCACTTCTCTTTACAATACCCCCATTCTCCCAGTACAGAAGGCAAGTGGCTCTTATAGGCTGATATAAGATCTCTGTGCCATTAATCAGACTGTCCTCCCCATACACTCTGTGATGCTAAACCCTTACTCTTATCGTTTATCCTTTCATCCACCACTCATTACTGTTTTAGATCTAAAAGATGCTTTCTTCACTATTCCCCTAAACCCCTCCTCACAATCTCTCTTTGCCTTCACTTGGACAGACCCTGACATCTATCAGTCCCAATGGCCTGCTTGAACTGTCTTGCCTCAGAGGTTTTGGAATAAGTCTCCACTATTTTGGTCAGGCCCTTATGTGTGACTGACTCTCCTTTCATTCCTCCTCCTCTCATCTCATAGAGTATGTAGATGACCTCCTCCTCTGCAGCCCCTCATAAGAGTTGTCCCACAAAGACACCCTTTTATTATAGTATCTAGATGCCAAGGGATATTGTTTCTCTCCCTCTAAGGGCCAAATCTCTTCCCCATCTGTCATCTATCTGGGCATCATTCTCCACAAACATATTCAAGCCCTACCTCTAGATCTCATTCTCAGATTCCAGTTCCTATTAGCAAACAAAAACTCCCCTCCTTTCTAAACACATTAGGATATTTCTGCCTCTGGGTTCCCAGCTTTTCTCTCCTCACTAAACCCCCTTTCCCCCACTAATCCTTTCACCCCTTAAAAGAGGCCTTAAAAACACCCCCTGCTTTGGCCCACCTAGATTTCACCCAACCCTTCAACCTTTATACAGTAGCGTACAGGAGATGTGCAATAAAGGTTCAGACACAAGGTTCCAGCCCACATCCGATTGTGTTTCTGCTACTCCTAGAAACACTCAAAATCACTAGACATACCCCACTCACCTTTTACTCTTCCCAGAATCTTCAGGGACTCGTGTCTTCATCCCACTTCTCATCACACTTTCTCTCCATCCCTCACATTCAACTCTATGCACTTTTCATGGAGACTTCCATGGTTACAACCATCCTGAGCCCTTATTTTAATCCAGCCACTCACTTTATCAATCCACCACTCCTTTCTAAAAAGCCTGAACCATATGAATGCATGTCTCTGACACCCAGCAGCCTCTTCTTTTTATCACATTTCCACCTTCCCTCTTCCCAACCCTAACCACACCCTGGGAGTTCATACAAGTCCACCCCCATTTCCCCTGCCAGGGCAGGATATGCTATTGTCTCCCAAGACTCTATCACAGGAGCTGCAGCTCTTCCCCTGTATCCCACCTCTCAACAGGCTGAACTAACTGCTCTGTTCCATGCTCTTTCACTAGTTAAGGACTCACAAGTTAATATCTATACAGACTCAACATATTCATTTCATATATTACATCATCATGCTTCTATCTGGGCAGAAAAAGGTTTCCTCACCTCTTCCCCAAATATCTTCAATCATTAATTCTCCACTCATTAAAGCCCTTTCTCAGGCTGATCTACCAACATAGGCAGCTGTGCTTTACTGCAGGGGACACAAGAGACTTTAGGACCCTATAGCTGCTAGGTATGCCTTCGCAGATAAAACTGCAAAAGAAGCTGCTCATCTCCCTCCACAACCGCAAGGATCATTATTTTTCCCTTTCCAATTTCACTCTGGCCTACTCCTTTTTGAGGGCCATCAATATCAGGACCTCCCTACCAAAGATGGCTGTTTTCTAAGTGAGAGAAAATCTGTCACACACCTCACCTCAGAGGTCTGCACCATTCTTTCATCCATTCCTGACAGTTTTCATGCAGGACATAATCTCTAACTCATCCGCTTGAGCCTCTTACCTGCTTTGCCTCCTAGAAGACCCTCCTCAAAACTATCACTGCTCAATGTTCTGCTTGCCAGGTAACCATTCCTCAAGGCTCCTGAGGCCCCTCCATTTTCTACATATCAAGCGTGAAGTTTTTTCCCCAACTCGAGTGGCAAATTGATTTCATTCACATGCCATGAGTATAAAAGTTAAGAAATATCCTGGTTTTCCAATATTTGTATTTGTTGAATTTACAGCAAAACTATTCACAATAATGTTGTAAGCTATATAAATAACCTTTAAATTAATCATCTGATCCCAACTGCAGGTATCACATTTTCAAAAGGATGAAATTGTAGTCATAACAACAAAAAGAAACTGCTTGCTATAACTTGGATCTGGAATGTCCACCTCCTCTCTCAAAGAAAAAAAAGAACCCATTTGTCAAAGGCTTAGGCCCCAGGGTAGGATTACTGGAAGGTGGGGGAACTTTGTAGAGGTGGGGCCTAGCAGTAAGTCTTCATGGGTGTAGGGGACCGCAATATTGGTTATGCCCAAAGCAGTGCAAGCTGTAAACAGTTAACCCCTCAATTGGCTCATTTTAAGAAGTCAGTCTGGCCGGGCATGGTGGTGCACGCCTGTAATACCAGCACTTGGGAGGCTGAGGCAGGAGGATCGCTATGAGTTCAAGACCAGCCTGGGCTACACAGTGAGTTCCAGGTCAGTCTCAAATACATAGTGAAACCCTGTCTCAAAAATCCAAAAAAAAAAAGAAGTGAGTCTGACTGAAGCTTACATGACCTACAGAAGCACCTCATAAGCACTGCAGAAGCATGTAGGTTAGCATGACCTTCCCACTAACAGCCACAGCCGAAACCAGAGTAATGGCCTGTGAAGCTGTGGGGCTCAATATGAGATAACATAGTAGTAGCTGAGGTCATAGTAACTCACATTCAAATTATATTCCCATGACTAAAACTTTCTTAGCTGGAAGAACAGGTTTTAATCATAACTCTACATTATGTCTATTCTATTCTTAATTCGAGAATGCTTTATCTTTTCCTTTACAAAGCTTGCCTACATTAATATTCATAGCAACTGCACAACTGCACATCTTTGCATGTAGTTCCCCTTTAGGACATAGCTGCCCTTTAACCCAATCTGATTACCAACAAAAATCAGTGGTGTGGACTGACCAGGACAGTTGCTGGTTGCTCAGCACTGGCCATCCTGACTCCCCATTTATCTGTCTCTTTAGTTCTGTCTTAAGAGTTTTTTTTCAACCTTGCGCCATAGAACTAAGCAAGAGACTGGAATCTACTACAGAGGTCTCCATAAATGGCAGTGTGCACAGAGAAGTGTGTAGTAAGCTGCAGGCAGGCTCTTCCTTCTTCTTCTTACTCCCTGGCTCATGATGTGATTTTGTTCTGCCATAAGCTCCTGCCACAATGAGCTGCCTCCCACAGGCCCCAACTCATCAGACAGGAACCTCCAAAATAGTAAAGCTGGAGCTCTAAAATTTGTTATAGTAACACAGAACTAACATTAACTCACTAAACTCTGAAGATGTCAACTGCTTCAGACCTATATGATTTTCCTCACACATTCTCTCTACCAGAAAAGTCCTCCACTGATTACCTAACAAGTTCTGTGCACTAAGTCACCTTCACAATGGAATCCTCTCTGACAGTCTTATTCATATGTTCAGACATAAGTTGTTGCTAAAACTTCAAACAATGCTACTATAAAACGTATACAAAACTTCTCATTATATTGTATTGTCTCGTTATATTGTGTTGTAACTTACTCATTATATTGTATTGGTACACATTCATCTTAATTTGTGTGTGTGCATGTATGGTGCTGGTGATTAAACCTAGGGCCTCATGCATGCTAGGCAAGTGCTCTTGCATTCTACACACCCAACCCCTTCATCTTATTTAGTAAATCTCAAATTCCTAACAAGAGTGTTAGTACATAGGAGATGTCCAATAAATGTTTACTGGAAAAACTATTTTCTTTCTTACCTTCCTACATAAGTTGCAACTAACCACAGATTATCTTCTTATCTAGGCAGACCACCGAACCACTGAGCTAAATCTCCAGCTCTTAGAAAATATTATTAAAATTTTTTACAAAAGCATGTTAAAGACATACCATAGAAGGTATATTTCTATTTAGACCACATGTTTTAAAACAATACTACTAGATTAGGGTTATTCAAGCATTTTTAAGAAGCAGACAATATGACCCACATTTCACCTTTAGAAAAAAGTGCTTTGTAATTTTTGAACCTTTCTAAAATTGAACTAGTTAGAAAGGATGGCAAATTGTGTTCTATGGGCTTCCATCTCTTAGCAAAAAAGAACTTTGGGAACAAGGAAAGGGTACATGGGTAGCCCCTGCCAAGTATATGACACTGTACATGAGTAGGAAAAAAAAAATCTAAGCGATGAATGTGATTAACATGATGGAAGTCAAGTGTGGAAATACTTTTGAGAAAGAAGGAATATCACCAAAGTTACAGAGATCATTTATGATACTAGTTTAAAAGTGAGTATCACATGTATAGTTAAGATGTCAAGGACAAATTTGTAATACTGTATATTTATTCTACTTTAAGGGGGAAAAAGTTGGCAAATAAGAGTAACTGGATTACATAAAAAGCTTCTTAGGAGCACAAAAGTTGGAGTGGCCAGATATTAAAAGAAAAACAACACTTAATTGATAAAATAATGTTTATATTCTAAAGGTACACATAATCATGAAAAGGAGACCTAAGAGAGATCATACTTCTTTTAAGAAGGAACAAGAAGAACGGATTCCACACTAATTTACTATTTTCTAATTAAATATTTTGGGAGGAAAAGAAACCTGGCCTGGACCCCAATAGAGGTACTCTCACTGTACCAAATGGGGTGGCCACCTAGAACATATAATAGAATGCTTACTAATTAATTCCTGGATTAGAAAAAACTAGTACTACAGAATATTATTTGTTTTAATAAATTAAAATCAATCCAAATCAACCATATCTTCTTTGGACTAATGTATTAACCTCCAAAATAATCTTTCACATCTATTCTTCCACATCTATCCTTCCAATCAGTCTCCAAATAGATATAGAAGGATCTTTCAAAATGAAAATCTTATCATTGGCACCCTACTACTTAAAACTCTGCCTCCAATTTTCTTAGGAAAAACATAAAAATCCTTAATGTAGTCTACAAAACTTCATAGGACCTTCTCTGCCTACCTCTCTCAGTCACTCTCACAGTGACCTCTCCCTCCCCACTCCATATCATCACTGCTATGTTTGCACAAAGTCTTTACACATGCTGTGGCTTCATTGGAGCTGGCTTCACCCAAATGACTCAGCCTTTAGTCAAACAAGCTGCCCCCTGACCTCCTGGAAGTCTTGTTTCAAATTCAGCCCAGCACTGTCTACTCTTCTTTTATAGAACCTATCACAGCTGCAGTTTTATATTCATTTATTAATGTTATCAGTAATACCTCCCCTCCTATTAATTCTAAATGCCATGAAAATAAAGGGATCATTCCTACTTTTTCTAACTATGTGTATCCAGGATCTAATAAAGTGCCTGCCGCTTAGTATTGGTTGAATGAATGAAAGGAAGGAAAAACACAGTACACAAGAGAAATTGCCAAACTTTAGAATTAACTAGTTGACTAATTAGAACTAAACAGATGTTATAAGTTTAATAAATACTGGTTAAAATTCTGCTGTCATAAACTTCAGTCTACATGTCTATGAAAATATACAAACAAGAGTAAAATCTTTTAATTTACTTTCATGAGCTAGCTAAATGTTTTTATATCTATTAGTTCTAAGTATTACCTTTTATTTAAATAGAAGTCTTATCAAATGTACATATAAAATTACATAACCTTCCCAGGTCTCTTCAAGTGAATTTTCGTTAATGAAAAGGCAGTTTCTCAAAAAAAGTTTAGAAAAGGTACTAACATATCACATATCAGCACATATTTAACAAATGCCCAAAACATAATCAATAACAGATTGTTTTAATTATCTGTCACTTACATATATATTTCCTCAAGACTGTTGGATATATTCACACGTTCTTGCCCTCTAAGCCAAGGAGCACTACAATTGAATAAAACACAATAAAGATCATTGAGGGTTGTGTTTATGATTGAAACATAATTTACTGCTTGTTTTGTTTTTGAGTCAGGATCTCACTGTGTAGTTCAGGCTGTCCTTGAACTCAATATGCAGCCCAAGCTGGCCTCAAACTCTCCAGAGATCTACTGCCTCAGCCTCTTCGGTGCTGTGTACAGGTGTGTGTCACCAAGTTTGGCTAGTTTCACTTAAGTTTCTAAAAGTATTTATTTTCATTAAAATGTTGTCTTATATAAACCTATATAGTTTTAAAATAGTTTCACTGGCATTAATTTAATCCTCTCAAAAAAATGATAAAATCAACACCAGTATTATTCGGTTTTAATGGTTTAAAAAAACATAAATCACCCCATAGGATATCACAAACCTACCCAAGTTTATATACGTGACAGAACAGGTTCTGGAATCTAAGTTTCCAGGTTCACAATATTTACCACAATAATATCTTGAAAACAATTCTAACAATTCTAACAATCAGTTCCCACATGATTATAAACCAAACACACACAAACACACATATATACTATATATAAAAGGATACTTATGCTTACATTTTATATTATTTGCAATAAATAAAAATAAGATTCACAGAATCATTTTTATTAGCAATTTTTATATTTATGGTTTTCAAGTGCTCTCTCAAAAATAATACTGTTAATAGGTAAAAATTTTAAGAAGATTTTTACAGAAATTTGCTTCCATAGTTCATACATACTACCACTTTAGGTCAAAGGGGTAAGGCAGATCACATGTCACTTGCATCAACATGATTCATAAAGGTCATGATTCATAAAGATTAAGCTTAGACTTCTATGAAAATGGTCCTTCAGTAACAAGGCAGGAGGGGGAAGGGCACTTCCTGGAAGGGAGGCTGCCTAAAGCTGATGTTCACCAGGGAACTGTGGTTAGGTCAGCAGAATCAGGTTAGGAGAAACTCTAAGCACTAGGATTTCCAAATCACTAGGCTGAAGAAAGAGGAAGGTTTTCTCCATCTCTAACGACAGTTCTATAGCTATGAAATCCATGATCCTCTTTTATACAAGTAGCATATTTTAAAGTTTTCATATCACTTAATTTTTTACTTAAAAGCTCTATACAAAGTTGAAAAGGTACTGTATTTTTAATTTCTATATATCTTAATAAAAATATTCTATACAATCACAAAGCACAGTACAGAGAAATTCTGTGGAAGTATAATCTTTTTATAAAAATATAAATGTAGAATATAGCTTACTTCAACTGATAAATAGGTGGAGCTATAGCTGGGTATTCATTCGGCAGCATCACCTACAATGCAGTTTAAAAACAAATCGTTTATACTTCATCATGGTTCAAAAATAACTATAAAGCCAATCATTGAACAAATTTTTAGCTTGCCAAACCCAAAAGCAAACCATTGTTTTGTTAGATCTTAAGAGCAAATCCCCACCTTGTATTTCACCTTCTAGACTAGATGTTAGTGATACTGCCCATATTTTTAAGGAAAAGCTAATTATTTGCAGATCATGTAGAAAAGCAATGAAAGAACAAAAAAAGTAAAGAGTCCAGAGATGAAAGGAAAAGGAAAACTGGAACAGGGGCATTATATGCTAACTCCAAATGGATAATGACATTATAACATTTTCCAGATATTTTCTGAAGAAATACTAAAAGAATATTGTGAGATACTGTTGAATATGGTATGTAAAAAAGCTAACACATAATACTAAACAATGAACATTTTCTTCTCAAATCAGTATTTTAAAAATACTGACAAAAATTCAACTTACTAGTATTTATGTTGAAAGTATAGGCAACCATCAAAGAATAAGCACTAATGAAGAGGAGGGGTAGGGGAAATAAGTAGAAAAAAGATATGCCATGTACAGGAGCCTAATAACCTCAACGAATGTAAACATTATATGCCATACCATGAGCTAAGATTAATAATATCAACATGAATGAAAATCAGGATAGGGGAATTGGAGGAGGAGGCAGGGAAGGGAAGAAGGGAAGATCGGGGGATTAAAAAAGAAACCATCTGTAGTAAGTACATGTACCTTCACCCAAAGATGATTGTTAAAAAAAAAAAAAGAACTAAGACAGAAAGCCACATTACTTTTATCCTAACTACTGTTTTTTGTTTTTTGTTTTTTTTTGGTTTCTTGAGACAGGGTCTCACTATGTAGTTGAGACTGACCCGGAACTCACTATGTAGTCCAGGCTGGTCTCGAACTCATAGCAATCCTCCTGCCTCAGCCTCCCAAGTGCTGGGATTACAGGTGTGAGCCACCATGCCCAGCCTAACTACTGTTCTTAATAAAGGAATGAGCATCTATTCTGTAAATTATGCACACTGTTAACCTATTGTTCCTCATAAATGTTAACAATCTTTTTATTTCAACACTCTCCTGTTATCTGGATGGAAAAACAAAAGGAAGTGAAATTCAACTGTCAATGTCACATTAAGACTTTTAATAATTAAAAAAACAGGACAAGAAAGAAGCAATCAATGAAATCATAATTTGAGGGTGATTTGTAATTTAACCACTCATGTTTAGATCAGAAATCATGACATGACAAAACCCAACAACAAAGATACTTCAGTGCCCGTTTCAGCAGCACATATACTAAAATTGGAAGGATACAGAGATTAGCATGGCCCCTGCGCAAGGATGACACCCAAATTCATGAAGCATTCCATATTTTTAAAATATATAAAGAACTCAAAACAACCAGCTCCCCCAAACATAAAGACCCAGTTCTAAAATGGGCATCTGAAATGAACAGACACATCTCAGACAAAGAAATAAAAGCAGCTAGTAACTATATGAAAAATGACATCACTGGTCATTCGAGAGATGCAGATGAAAATAACACTGAGATTTCACCTCACCCCACAAAGAATGACTGCTATCAAGAAATCACACAATAACAAATGTTGGCGCAGTTGTGGGGAGAAAGGAACCCTTCTTCATTGTTGGTTGGAGTACAGACTGGTACAACCACTATGGAAGTCAATATGGAGAAACCTCAAAGAACTAGGATTAGAGGTTCCATTTCACCCAGCCATCCCTCTGTTGGGTATCTTTCCAAAAGAATTAAAAGAATCATACCACAGTGATATATGCACACCCATGTTTATAGCAGCACAGCTTGTAATAGCTAAAACTTGGAAACAGCCCATCTGCCTATCAGTTGGAAACTGGATACAGAAGATGTGGTTCTTCTATAAAATGGAATACTACTCAGCCATAAAGAATGAGAAAGTAGATTCATTCATAGGTAAATGGGTACATTTTGAGGATATACTCCTAAGTGAAATAAGTCACACATATGCAAATACTGAATAGTTTCTCTGTTGTAAAAAGCTAAAGTAGTACTCAAGATCCTAACGGGACAATTAGCAACGTGAAATAGGAAGAAAAGGACCAAAGTTGTAGGGACAGTGAGAAGGATAGGGAAAGGGGAACAAGGGAAAAGGAAAAAAATATGAGAAAATGTAAAAATGGAATTAAAGTGTTTGAAGGTGGGGGGGGAGGAGGGGGTGAAGGGAGGGCAGGGACAAGGGGAAAAAATGAGAACCAAGACCTGGCATGTAAAGGTACAAGATCCCAGTAATGAATGTAACTGTACTGTCTACCTAGAATGTACCAATAAATTAAATTTAAAAGAAAAAAAAAAGATACTTCAGAAAATACTGTAATCCACGCAAAAATAATCACAAGAACAGTGGTCAATCATATAGTCAATATTGTAATTTTAAAGTAGCTGCAAAAAAGCAGAAAAAAAAAATACCTGCAAGCAAATTGTCCATTTAGGATGATCTTTGTCATCGCTAACTCTAATACAAAACACTCTGGCCCGTTCATCAACAACACACCATTCTTCCCCATAAATGGCTGCCAGTGCTTCAATTTCTTCATTCTGAAAGACGACGTTTAAAAGTCAACAAATGTACGTACCCTAAGAACCAATCCCCACCACTTTACATAGTATTAGGATTCAACATCACTAGCCTGGATGAAGGATCCCAGATAAACCTCAGGAGGTCAAACATTCCTTCCTGTGGGTCACCATGTTCTACTTCCTGAACGCTTTCCTGACCCTGCTACCAGAACTGGGTCCAGCCTGAGCAGTGCACTGCTGTAGTTCTGGCCTCTTTTGCACCAAAATACACGTATACTTCCATGTTTTGTAGTGAGGTTCGCGTGATAAATACATGTTTTCTGACCAGTAATTCCCCGTTGCTGGGTATTCAACTCATTACCTGTTCCTGACACTTTTTTAAAAAAATGTGGGGCCCAGGGCTGATAGGATTTCTTGTCTTTTTTGATAATCAAGCCTCAAAACAGTTCGGAAATTATTCTCTTGTTTTGGAATTAAAAAGTAAAAACAACTTGCACCTAACGGTGAAAAATGGGACATAAAGTATGCATTGCATTCAACTTGACAATATCTCATTTTGTCCTCGTGGCCCCGCAGGAAAAGCCACATGAGCGCCCACGTGAACCAAGCCCAGGAGCAGGTTGAAAACCACGAAGGCTGTGACATTCGGTGGGCGCGGGGAACTCCAGGGTCTGAGTTGGTGACCCTAATTGCAAAGACGAACACGGGGTCTTAAGAGCCCAGTCCAAGGTGCCCGCTACAGGGCAGGGACGGACCCGAGTTTCGGCCTGCGGGAGGGAGCGGCCTGGGGGCGCTGATGACTGACGAGGACACAGCCCGAGAGCGACCTGGCCGCGCCGGGAACGCGGACC